AAGCTGGGTTGAGAGCAATAAACGATTCTTACAGATATTACAAAATATGCTAATATCGGGCCAATAATATCGGTTTTAAAATATATTAATTTATGTATTATTAAAAACTCAGATCTAAAACAGGCCAAAAATAGAAAAAGAAATGCTAGCCAAGATGATGGTTAAATGAAATTACAGAAATGACGTAAATTTGGCCAAAGATTGCAACACTACAGTCGGGGATGGAAGTAACTCAGTACAGGCGGCTGTGGCTTCATTTTCAGACCATTCATCATTCAACACTTTACAAAACAAAATAACACTTGGAGACTGAGTTTGATTGATGACATGTCACTCTGAAGGCTGCTCTGTTCTGAATGTGCACTCGACTCCTGTTCTACCTCACTCTCTCATCTACTGTAAGTACAGTACAAAACCAAGGCTTGTTGAGTTCTCATAAAGGGAAGGTCATGGGAGGGAATGCACTAGAAGCCTTCCTATCCTTCCTCTGTCATCTGGATGCAAGACATGCCACTACATCCCCTCAACCCTCACTCCCTCTCTAAAACATTTCCGCCTTGAGGGAAAAAAAGAGAAGAAGATTATGTAAGGACCCACAGACCACGCTGTGAGTTTCTGATGGTAAAGTCAGGACTGAAATGGCTTCAAATGGTTAGTCAGAAGCGTCTACGTTGGCTTTAGGAAAAACTGAATGGAAAAGTACTCAATTGGATTTCTGAAAATTGGACAAATAGGCCTAAATTGAACATCTGAAGGCTGACTTGGACCAGAATCACCCTGTGCCTCGGCTGATTAGTCAGAAGAAAGCAGTAAAGAACACAGACCACGTAGCTGGCAACAGTTAAGACGATGTTTTCTGCTGCTTAGCGTGCACAACATAGCGATACAACAGCCGTGCAATTAGACCAGCTCACTGTGAGACGCCACCGTGTGTTCGGCGATGTTAACGTTAAGTGAACTAAAATAAAACTGTGCTCGACTTTACAGAAAAAACATGGTGAGAAATATATATATAAAACAATCAAAAATCAGCTGTTTCCACAGCCTGTTGCCCTGCGTTGCCGCACCACTATTGTCACATAGCGAGGGCGCAGGCAATGCAAACAGGAAGTGGACATTCAATGGCAGCAGGGCGGAGCAGGAACAACACCACCCAAAAACATGGCCTCTGCTCCGTCTGCGTGTCCCACTTCAGTCACAGCTGGAATTTTACTTTACTGCTCTGTTTGAGGAGATAATTATGCTGAGAAAAAAATAAATTAGAGTTATTACAATAATCCTCAGGCACATTGTTGACTGAATGATTCCCAGTTGACAACACATTCGTCCATGAGGGAAAGCCACAGAGCAGAGCCTGTTTACGAGGCCGTTAAATAACCAGAGAACAAAGGGCACAGTGTAAGGTAATCGTCATTGTTCTTTTATATAAACACTTTGACTTTCTGCTGGGCCTTCGTGAATTTTTTGAAGCAGCAGCTTTGAGAGAGAGGGAGACATCTTGGCCTAATTTAATTTTTTTCTCTCTCTCTCTCTCTGCCAATTTAGGCTTTTGTTTGAGTTTTGATTTATCTTGTTTAGAACAGTTTGGTCGTCAATGATAGGAGCGGGAATGAGGCC